AAGGAAACTTGTCAAAACTTGTATGATGAGTAAAGGTATAAAGTTATTACTACTTAGCTTCTTTAGAGACCCCACAGCATCTAATAACTGAGGGGACGGGAATCCTTACCCAGCGAGGTCACATTCTCATAGTTCTCCTGCATGACATCCCTGTAGAGGGCTCTCTGAGTGGGGTGCAGCAGAGCCCACTCTTCCCTGGTGAAATACACAGCCACCTCCTCGAAAGTCACCAGTCTCTGAAAGAGAAAGAGTCCAACACTCAGTACCTGCTGCCCCAGTCAAAACCCCACTCTTCATGCAACAGCAGCACCAGGGAAATGGAAGCTCCGGGAGGCACATGTTAACAGAGTCCCACCTCACCTTGCCTAGAGCAGCCAGGAGGCATCAGAGGGTGGAAAGAGAGAACCTTTGTGTCTCCCAGCTGACAGACGGAGGCAGAGTCTTCACATTTATCACATACCTACTAGCCAGAGCTTGATATAGGAGATGGGGCTGTCTCTGGACCCTGCTGGTGGCTCCCTGCTAGGAATCCCAACACTCTCCAAATAAAATATATGGAAGAAAGGGGAAGTCAATAGTAAAGAATATAAGTTAGAAGGTCAGAATTGTAGAAAATTAGTAAGGGAAGCTATCAGAAATCAATGATCAATCAATGAAAATAAGAAGGAAGTTTTTAAAAGTATATTAAGTAGAACATTAACCCTAACAGTGGTAGTGGGAAATTATTAGATGGAAATGGCAGAATTATCAAAAATAATGCAGAAGAGGTAAAAGTGTTCAATAAATATTTCTCTCCTGGATTTGGAGAAAAACAGATGATGTAAGTCTTATCATAAGATGTTGACGCCGACAGTCTTTCCATTCCAACAGTAACTCACGAGGACTTTAAACACCATCTATTAAAGTTAGATGTGTTTAAATCAGTGGGTCCAGATAACAAGAGTTTTGAAAGAGCTGGTGGAGGAGCGTGATGGACTGTTAATGTTGATTTTAATTAGGACTTGGAACATTGGGGAAATTCCATAAGACAGGAATAAAGCTAATGCTGTGCCAATATTTGAAAAGTGTAAAAGAGATGATCTATCTCATTACAAGAGTGTTAGTCTAAAATTGATACTGGGCAAGAGAATAGAGCAGCCGATACTGGATTTCATTAATAAAAAATTAAAGGGGGGCTAATATAATTAGTACCCATTAACAAAGGTTTAGACACAATAGATCCTATCAAACTAACTGGATATCCTTATTGGATGAGATCCAAGTTTGGTCACAGCTAATAGTACTGATGTAATATACCTAGACTTCTGTAAGGCATATGACTTGGTTCAGCAGAACATTTTGACTAGAAAACTAGCAAGATAGAAAATACACACGGCATACATTAATTAGATTAAAAACTGTGATTGTAAATGGGGAACCAGGGTCGAGTGGATTTCTTTCTAGTGGCTTCCCGCAAGGATTGGTTCTTGGCCCTGTGATATTTCACATTCTTTACAATGACCTAGAAGAGAATATAAAATCATCCCTGATAAAGTTTGCAGTTGCCACAAAGATTGGGGGTGGTGGTAACTAATAAAGTGTCAGTAGATTCAGGCTCTAGCACTGGGAGTCTGGGAAGTTTTCCCAGCCCTGGCTGGGGGGTTATTTCCTGTTCCACAAAGAGGGGAAGTTCAATTCCCAACTCCTGTGCCTTGAAATTATCCCCTATCTGACACTACACCCCATATTCAGTGTAGTGGTATAATTATAATATGATTAGGATATAATTATGAGGCATTTTGTGCAAGGTGCATCATGTGCAGGGTCATTGGAAAAAAGTTATAATTTCCTATTTATGATTATCCTATTTGTGTGCATGGATCATGTTTGTATCTGAAGTTATGGATATTGACTATGTATCTGTATTTCAAATGTGCTTACTCTGGGTAACACCAAAACGAGCCTTTCAGGTACAACAGTGAAGAAGCCAGACAATGCTGATGGCTCATCAACAAAGACAATGGACCATGGAAGAGCTTCCCCTTCCTCTGACTGTTCCATCCAGTGTATGAGTCATGGCTACAGCAGGACATGCTAGGGCATGTGACCAGACCACATGACAATGAACTCCATTTTGGTACGTATATTTTTCCACAAAGGGGACTGGGAACTGAATTTGGAACAAAGGGTTCCCGCCATATGGAAAAGCTACATAAGGTGTGGTGTGAGGTCATCTCTTGGCCTCATTCCCCAGACAAGTGAACTCCTGGAAGCACCTGAAGAACAAAGACTGAACTGGGGGATGTGCTGGTGGACTGCTTCAATCATCAGTCAGGGTGAGAAACTGCTAATTCAAATTCTATGCAGCTAGTAAAGAGGCGGGAAAACTTTTTGGCCTGAGCATCGCATCGGGTTTTGGAAATTGTATGGAGGGCCGGTTAGGATTCAGGAGGCCTGAGGCAAAGCAATTTCGAGGGCCCCTTCCATAAAAATAAGTTGCAATACTATAGAATACTATATTCTTGTGGGGGCTCCTGCAGGGCCCGGGGCAAATTGCCCCACTTGCCCCGCCCTCTGAGGGGCCCTGCTGACTCCCTGACCCCTATCCACACCCCCGCCTCCTGACCACCACCACAAACTCCCCTTCCCTCTATCCAACCCCCCAACTCCCTGCCCCCTTACCATTCCTGGAGCACCGGTGGCTAGCAGCACTACAGCCACACACCACACAGCACAGAGCACCAGGTGAGGCTGGGCTCGGCAGTGGCGCTGCCCCAGGAGCTCACAGCCCCACCCAGAGCATTGTGCCAGTGGCGGGGCAAGCTGTGGCTGCCGCGGAGGGGGAACAGGAGGAGAGGGACCAGGAGCTCAGGGGCTGGGCAGGAGGGTCCTGCGGGCTCAATGTGGTCTGCGGGCAATAATTTACCCACCTCTTATCTAGTATGCTAGGCTCAGTTTGAGTTTCTGGTTATTTGCCAAGTAATCTGCTTTGATCTATTTGCTATCACTTATCACTGGGAAATTGGTGGTTGTTTTCTGTCTGTCCTTGAGTGGCTTAGGTAAAGCACTGAGATAGCTTAACTGAGTGTATGGCGCCACCTGCTGTCATGTTGGGTGATAAAAAGGCCAGGAGAGGCTGGCTGAATCTCCAGCAAAGCAGTGTGAGAAGGGCCAGCCCAGGCTCAGGGTTAGAGGGCACAGTGGTTCCCAGAAGCCCCTCAGACTGCACACAGGGTTGACAACCCATTACACCCTAGATTACACAAGTCTCAGCAAGTTTGTCACGTCCTGTCCCCTCCCTTTCTCCACCCTAGATAGTTCCTATCTCCCACCACCTCTAGCAGCACCCACCCTCCTATGCCTTTACTGCTCCTCTCTCTCCAAGCAGAACCCACCACCAGCTCCCTGATAATCCCTTACCTGAGCCAGCTCCATTGCAGCCATTTCCTTCCCCCTGGGAGGAGGGGATCATCTGGAGCGAAACGTGGATGTTATTCTGTACCCTACCAGGGAGAGAAGGGCAATGTGAGAGAATTCAGATGGGGCTTTTGTCCAGTCCACAAGCCGATTCCCCCCAGATTTTTCCCTGATAATGGACATTCAAGGTCCTGCCACATTGCGAAGCACAGAGTGACCTTATTCCAGTACATGCCTAGCCCCTTCCCACCAGGGTGTAACCCTCTGACACATGGTGAAACCCTCCCAGTAGCAGAATCTCTGTTACACAAAGTTTGCGGAGGATACCAAGCTGGGAGGAATTGCAAGTTCTTTGGAGAACAGGATTAAAATTCAAAATGATCTGGACAAACTGGAGAAATGGTCTGAAATATATAGGCTGAAATTCAATAAGGACAAATCCAAAGTACTTCACTTAGGAAGGAAAAAGCAGTTGCACACATACAAAATGGGAAACGACTGCCTAGGAAGGAGTACTGTAGAAAGGGATCTGGGGGGGTCACAGTGGATCACAAGTGTGGGGAAATAGAGCAGGGGGGCCTTCTTTTTAATAGCCAGAGCTGTGAATCTGAAGGCCCCAAAATAAACCCTCCAACAGAGATCTGTTATGCTAACTACCCTTACACAAAGCAATACAGGCCAGGGCCTGAACTAGACTAGACTG